ACTTAAAATCATGTCCTTTCATAATTTTTCAAAAGAAAAAAAAATTTTTGTTTTTTTCTAGAAAAAAGTAAAAAAAATTTTTTGAATCGATTTATTAAGCACGGGACCGATTTTTGAGTATTTTTCGATATATAATAAAATATTCCTTATAATTTCACCTTTCATTTAAAAAAAAGAAAACGATGGAGACTTTAATAGTTTTCGAGATATTGCAATTTTTGTGGAAGCGCGACCACGTTTCAGTACCAGCGCAGTATCTTTTACCTGGGACGCCTCACAGTGGGATTTTTTACACTTTACTCTTCAAAATTTTCTAGAGCCTACAAATTTTATTAGATTTTAATGTTCTTGGTCTTAAATGAAAGGGAATAAAATTTCTAAGAGATCCCTTTAAACTGATTTTTGAATTTATAGATTTGATTAGATTAGATTTATTCAATGTATACTATACATATAGTTTTTACATATAAAAGGTCCCTGTTCATTACATAAATAAATAGAAAAATTCGCCGATAAAATTTAATTATTTTCAGGAATTTGAATAAAACTCATTTTAAAATTCAATTATTTTCATAAATAATAAAATTCTTTGACATTATTCACTTCTTTTGAAAAATAATAAAATACTTTGCAGAAATTAAATTATTTTCAAAATTGTTTTTTTAAATTCTCGTTAAGAATATTAAATAATCTTTATAAATAGATAGGAAAATTTCTTCTCAAGAATTAAATTATTGTCAAAATTTTTTGAAAAATTCTTCTCAAGAAGTCAATTATTTTCAAAAATTTTAATAAAATTCTTCTCATGAATTCAAGTGTTTTCAAAAATTATTATTTAAATTTTTTTCTGGAATTCAATTATTTTTAAAAAATTGAATCAAATTCTTCAAAAAGTTTTCAATTATTTTCAAAAATTGTTATAAAATTCTTTAATATAATAAATTTTATTGAACTTTTAATTAAATTCCATAAAAAAATTAAATATTTTCAAAAGTTTTTAATAAAATTCTTCGTAAAAATTAAATTTTAAGAAGCATTCAATATTATTTATTTTTGTATTTAAATAATATTTTTAAATATTTACTATTTTCATAACATTTTTTAACAGATTTAATTAAAGAAAAAACTTGTTGATACAATTCTACGAAAAGATTAAATTATTTTTATAAATAATAAAATTTCATTTACGATTTCAATTACAGTCAGGTCCCCATACTGTTAGATTCCAAACTGTCATGTCCTCAGTAGTGTTATGTTTTTGCATAACCTCCAAATTCAGAAGTGTTAGGTGACGTCACGTTACGTCGCCAATTTTCAGGGCCGTATTTAGTGTTTCAATTAAAAAATCACAGCAAAAATAAAAAAATTTAAAGAAATAATATGTGTATATAGCATTTAATGATATAATACCGAAGTAGTATAAGAAGACTTTAATTGAATAGTAAAGTAGAAAAATGAAATATTTAAGTTTTTCAGAATTTAGTTTCGGTTCGACACGAAACTACACTCAGTTTGTTAATTTAGTATTTAGTAGATACGAAACTAAATTTATTTTCATTAATTTAGTTTCGGATCGGCACGAAACTAAATTAAAAGTAAATTTTTAATTTAGTTCTGTTTCAGCATTTGTCTCTGTGGAAAACGGTTGTTATCATATAAAAAAACGTGTTTTAATAATTATGTATATATATGTTACATATTTTGATTCAATTGCATTGTACAAATATAAGAAGCATTCATTGCAAAATTCAATTATTTTCGTAAATAACAATATTCATCACAAGAATTCAATTATTTTAAAAATTATTCAAATTCTTCGCAGAAATTCAATTATTTAGAAAAAAAAATTGTTGTCAACATTTGAATTATTCTTTATAAATAAATAGCAAAATTCTTTTAAAAAAATTCAATTATTTTGAGGTTGCAAAAATTCAATTATTTTCATAAACTCTCTAAATCTGAATCAGCGAAATTTAACTGATTCTCAGCGATAAGTATGCCACTATATTAAAACAGCGTATATGCGCTAATTAATCAGTGAAGTTTCACTGATTATTTAGTGAAATTTCACTAATTCACAGCGCATATACGCTAATTGAAATAGTGGCATACTTATCGCTGATTCAGATTTAGAGAGAATAATAGTATTCATCACAAGAATTCAATTATTTTAAAAAATTTTAATAAAAATCATGTCAAAATTTCAATTATTTTTAAAAACTCTTACTTTAATGGTTTTCAATATTCTACTATTTTAATATAATTTCCCAAAAGAATTTAATTATTAAACAAAAGAAACATTCAGTTATTCAATAAATCAATAAAATTCGTTGCAATAATCTAAATATTTTCATAAATAACGTTTAATTCGTCGCAGAAAATCAATTATTTTCAAAAATTTTTAAGTGATTTTGCAAAATAATTCAATTATCTTGATAAACAACAAAATCGCATAAATTCTTCCCATAAAATCAATTCTTCTCAGGAATTCAATTATTTTTAAAAAATTTAATAAAATTCTTCAAAAAGTTTTCAATTCTTTTTAAAAATTGTTATAAAATTCTTAAATATAATAAATTTAATTAAAATTTTAATTAAATTCCTTAAAAGAAATTAAATATTTTCAAAAGTTGTTAATAATAATTTTTCGTAAAAAAAATTTTTAAGAAACATTCAATGTTATTTATTTTTGTATTTAAATAATTGATTTCTCGTAAAATTAAATTTTTTGTAATTTCAACTAACAATTCTGTGAAATTAATTTTTTTTAAAATGTTTAATTGAATAATAATTGATGTTGTTGATTTAAAGTAGAATTTTAGTTAAAAATTCTAGAAAATGTTAATTGAATTGAAATGATACAAATAATTTTGAAGAAATTACAGTAACAATATTCTGATAATTAATAATAAACTAATGATTTTGTTAGTCGGTCATTTTTAATTATTATAAAACATAAAGAAATTCTTTATAAATTTCTTTACACTGAGAAAACTGGAGTATTGGACTAAACATCTGGAGGAACAAATCGTTCATATTTGAGAGTTAGCTATTGGATAACAATCTAAATGTTCAAATTCACCATTGACAGATATTCGTGCCATTTCTCTAACAGAGGGACAAATTAACCATCTTGAGAAATCCCTTCCTTATCCGGCGCGAAATGAATAAATATGGCAACCTAACCCCTAAATTAAATACATAAAATGTCAGAAAAATAATTTCGCGCGCATCAGATCGTACACATTTTCTGCGCAACTTTTAACCCTCAGATATAATGGGAGAGAATATACAAGTAGATTTCCATTATCTATTCAAAATTTATTTTAGAAGGACTATTTAACTCTCTTCATAAGCAAAGGAAACATACACTTTTTGAACCTCTGAATTTGACTCTCCAGTTTTCTCAGTGTACGTTTTATAAAGTTGTTCAATTTGAAAAGGTTTCTCTCTAAATCTGAATTAGTAGAAAGTTACTAATGAAATGGTGAAAAGTCGTCCACCAAATGATTTAGTAATATATTACTAACAAATAGTAAATTTTACTAATTGATTAGTAGAATTCTACGAACAATTAGTAGAACTGTTTTATTAATAGTCGATAAAACAGTTTTACTAATTCATTTAGTGAAATGAGTGACTTTTAATTAGTAAATTTCTACTAAAATATTAGTAAAATTTTACTAAGAATTAGTAATATTCTACTAATTAAAAAGGGAAAAAGTCGTCCATGAAAACTACTAAAAATTAGTCAAATTTTACTATTTCTTAGTAGAATTCTACTAATTCAGATTTAGAGAGTTGAATTTTAAATTTTTGAACATCTTAATTCCAATAAAAAAAATGATTAAATATTTATTTGAAATAAAACTATTGATGTTTTCGAATAATTTTAGTTTTGAAGAAAGTAAATAAATTTAACAGAACATTTTTTTGAGTATCTAATAATTTTTAGAGTGAATCAGAATATTCTTTAGAGTCAGGAAAAAAGTCAAAAGTTGTGTTTGGAAATGAGGGAAAAGTCAGGGAAAAATAAAGTTAAATTTTTGTGGGAAGGAATAAATTATATTTTTATCTTTATTTAACCAATTCTTATGGTCCCCTAAAAGTCTCCTATTTTTTAATTTTTAGTCCCCTATTTCCCATAAAAAACTTTTTAGGGGCACTGTGAAGCCTGATTAATTGCAAAAGAATTGAAATTAAAATTTTTCAAAAAAAACACTTCATTAAATGATTTATAAGTAATAACTTTATGTCAGTTCTAAACATTTAATTTTCTCCAGTACTTTTAATAGAAATCCCTTACTTTTTCCTGATTTTCCTGATTAATTCTACTTTCCCTGACTTGAGGCAACCCTGTATAATTTAATTAAATAGTTGAGATTTTAAATGAATTTTTTCTAAATAATCATAAATAAATGTGTTGAATCTCGTTTTTCATTCTTACATATTATACACACGAGTGAACTATTTAAGTTTTGTATTACAGCATTATTGAAACAAAGAGAGTCTCTAAGTTCAAGCCCGTTCGGTAGACGGGGAGAACAAGATTATAGAATTGGGTAGTAGGAGAAGACGCTTCGCTTTGATTGAACATGTATGACAAGGAGAACGTATGAAAATATATAACTATCCATTAAAATCAACCAGGAAAGAGTAGGACATAAAGAGTAGTTATCTCTGTCGCTCTTTCAAGTTTGTATATATATGTAGAATACACACTGGAAACTGTACAGTGCACATGAATAAAAACACATATACTCTTTTCAACCAGAAGTCTAGGCAAGAGAGCTATTTGTAATGTAAGTGAGAGTCGTATGGTGGGGAAAGGGAGAGTTAAAAGCTGAGTGTGAAGGCTGTTGAGTATAAAGAGGTGGTGGAGGGCGCGTGTACGTGTCTCAGGTTTGTTTGGAAGGGAGAGAGGAAAGGTTTAGGTGGGGATACATTTGTATGGGAGGCACTAATACATGGATAGTCAGTTTCCTACGAAAGTGAGATGAGTTTACAAAGTTTGTAGTTTAGATTTAATTTCTTCTTCAAGTAGCTTGTGTGCTTATTTATGAATAAAGCAAAGCTATGCAGTATTATTCTCAAACTTTCAAGTACAATACGAAGTATACAAAACCTGATGTGTGCATTTTCGAAAATTAATAATTATTCTCACTTTTTACATTCATTCTTTTTTCGATCACGTGGTTGCAAGCATATAGGAGAGCATTTCCAAGTTTTCTGTGAAAATCATGAATTTATTTACAGAAATAAAAGGATATAATGAAATAAACAGTGATTCCCTAGGGAATTACATAGTTGCACTTTTATGTATAACTATCGAGTGATTTATTAGTGTTGGCATCACCACTACCACCAGAATCATAGCTGCCACCTCCGCTTCTACCTCTCTCCAAACTCGATTACCTACGACTTGAAGAGTGAAAGAGAAGGAGGGAACAAGAGAGAGAGAGAGAGAGAGAGAGAGAGGATCTACGCTTTGCGCAAAAGTTACGCCGGAGCGAGAAACAGTGAGGTACACCGCGGGGACCGGAAGAGACCCTTTCTCTGAGAGTACGTTTTCGAAGAGAGACCGCCAAACTCTCTTATTTTTTTAAGACCTTGTGAATGTCTTTCTTTTAATAATACTTTTTCTATTAGATGCACTTTTTTCTATGATTGGAATTTTTCTTTCAATCTCTATTCAAACCAAATTCTAAGTATTATTGTGTATTTCCGTCTGTATGGAGGGCAAAACCTTCTTAAAATCACAGTGTTATTATTTCTTGAAGCTCCATTCAATTCAATTATAGTGAAGACACGAGGATCTGTGACATAAAAGAGCGCAAGCGCAATAGTGTTTATACTTTTTGAAACGTTCCAGCTGCTAAATTTTCAATTGTGAAATAAAATTATTAATAGAGATGGAACTAATCTCTGATTTTTTGAAAATAAACTTTTATTTTTGGTGTATTGTTTGTGACAGTTTAACAATGGTTATAAGTTATTAAGGATTAAAGAAAGTTTTCTGTTTAAAAAAAAGCATTGAAGCGACGAAACAAACCTCTTTTACTTCGGTTATTGCTTGTACGTACCAGTAGAGCAAGCTGGTGTTGTGTAAGAGCTGAAAGTAAAAGTTGAAACCATCGAGTTCAACTTAAACCGCGCGAGCGCGTTAAAATCCGATCCCGTGGAGGACAGAAAAGTAGCCAAATATCCCTTCCAGGTTGCCTTGCTTTCGCCACTGTCTCCAACTTTATCGTTATCGTAACCTCATTGATGTATGTAGTTTATATATACAGGCATACAACAGGAAGTTATTACAAGAGGAAGTGTAAAAGAGGCGAAGGTGAGGCCAGCCAGAGAATTAGAAAAGAGTAGAGTAAGAAGAGATTATATAACAAGAACGTAACTCATCCTAACTGAAAAAAAAGTTGAAAGGTTTCTCCTGACACAGCCTAAAAATAAAGCCATCGTGCCCTTGAAGGAAAGTGTTGCCCACAGTTTCTTAAAAATGAAATGGGAAAAGAATAAATAATAAATCGAGGGAATAGAAAGCTTAGTAGTGAAAGATTGATAAAAAAGAATGCAGATAGATGGAAATGTCTCTACGGTTGGCTGACCATTGTAATATTTAAGCTTGGAAAGAAGACGAATAAGGGTAAAAAAGAAGTGGAGAACGAGCGCAAATCAAGTTGGAGGAGGAGGAGAAGAAAAAGAGGTAGAGAGAAAAAGGCCGGAAGTGGAAGATTCAAGGTATTGTTGATCCGAGGACATTTCGCGTTCTTGAGAAAGTAGACTGTTTTTGTATTAAGAATAGTCTTATGTCTTTTGTCAGTTGACATGGTAGAATTATTATGTATATAGTAATTGAGAAAAATTTTATACAAGTCGTGAGTGCAAGAATTAAAAGTACTTAAAAATGCTGAAAGAATTATAAAGGTGCGCGCGAAAGGATAAGAGAAAGGAATAAGAGCCACCTTCGAGTCCTTGAGTATTTCCAACAGGTAAAAGTATAGAATCCAGCCGGCTGACCCTGGAGTGCCCAGAGCTGGAAAAAGTTCTACATCGTCGTTGATATAACCCATAGTTGTCGCAAGATTCAGTTTTGACTAACTCTTTCTTAACCATTTCGAATTCAAGGACCATTTCACATTGAATCAGCAATTACAGAGTAGTGATCTCACACAAGCTTTCTTAAATTCCAAGTGTTTCTTATTAGAGAGAAAACAATGATAAAAGCAGCAACTGTTAAGATGAAAATTTAAACATTTCACTTCTTCACTCAAAACATAGGAAAAGTGTACATAAAGTTAAAGATTTTCTAAATAAATACAATCGCTAAAAATTTACAATATAGTGTAATGTGATAGTGCTGCACGAAACTTGTATATATATATATATATATTTTTTTTTATTGTTTTTTTCTTCTTGGGGCCTTCCTCAAGACGAATTCGCTGTTGCGGAGGTGCTCAAGTATTCAAGCTCGAATCTCAATGTTTGTTAAGTGTCGTCATCGTCGCCGTTGTGGCCGTTACCTCAAATCTTTGATTCTTTTCGGTTTGCGACGTGTTAGTGTGGAATCGTTAAAATGCAACAGTATTTCGCAAACATGGAATAACAATTCTTTTACTCCTTTTGGATAGAGCATTGGGAATATACAACTTACTAAGTGAAGAGGAAGAAATCGGTAAGTTAAAGAGAATCTCGGCACATCTTACCGATGCATGTATGGAAAATCAATTGCATGGATTGACTTTTTTCCTAAACTGTAAAGCAAATAGTAATCTTTAGTTAATGAGAAGCTATGAAAAAAATGTTGCAATCATAAATCAATATTAAAAAATTTATAATAAATAAAATCATTTCTTTCTTGTGTAGTTTAAATTCAAATAAATACAAATTATTTTAATGTATTTGTATTTTTATATAGTAGCAAGAGAAATAATTTATGGCAAATACTGGACAAAAATCAAGAGTTTTAATATAAAAATTTACTATAAAATACATTAGTAATTACCTTTAGGCTGTTTTTAGTATTAACAATTAATATCCCATTCAAAATGTATCCCACATAATATAGTACATCACAGAGCTTTTAAAAATTGCTAAAACATTTCAAATTATTTTATAGCGATTTTGGTTTTAAAAATAGCGGCCAAGTTGTGTTACAGACAATTTTTTTATTTTATCTTTGTCAAAATATTTAATTTTCAAAAAGTCAATAATTTCATGTTTTATCATAATTGGTATTTTACAATAGGTCAATACCAAAGAAACAGTTGTGTAAGTCTACCAAGATGATGTTCCCCAAGAAGATCTAAAATTAAAAAACTATACATTTTTCTGGCTTCATAATATTAAGTCTAATATAATTATAAATACACATTTGCGGATATTTTTTCAAAACATTGTTTTTGAACTACTAACGAACTTTGCTTCCACTAAAAGAAAGCAATATACATTTACTTAAAATTCTAAATTAAACATGTATGTAGTCCTTTCAACAATATTTCACTATCTTATTGAATTTTCTCAAGATTCATTTTTCACTGTTCGCTTTATAGAGAAAAAATGTGACCCCATTATAGAGGGAGAGAAAGAAAGTGTACTGAAATTAAATAGTTAAATTAATTTTTTTACATTACAATAGACACAAGATGAGTCATTTATAGATTATAAAAGTCATATACAATAATTATAAAATGAGTGACGTTAAAAGACAATACAATATGAGCTTACCTTGATCTTATTAAACTCAGAGAATGTGAGATTACAAAATTGCCTTTCTTGTATTCTAAATGATGTCATGTACATATACAGTAAGGCCGATTATCTATAGTAGTAAACCAGGGGCGAATCCAGACCAGAGTTCTAGAAAATTTTTTAAGGGCTTACAGAAACATTCATTTAAAATGTTAAGCATTCACTTGAAAAATAAGTATAGATGCACATTTATAAATAAGCGCAATTGGACAACCCTTAAAAATATCATTTTCGGGTTTTGACTATTCCCGCCTCCACATTTTGTTCCACACATTAAAAACGAAATAGGTATTCTTTTTCGTAAAAGAAAGACTTCTTTTACAAAAAAAGTCTACCTTCATTTCATAAACATTTTTCTTCCTCAGAGAAATGGGTTAAAATTTGAAGAAAAAGACGAAGAATGTTAAAGTATTCTTTATATTGAACATTATTTTAATAATTATTAAAGATATAAACTAATATTTAACAGAAAGGCTGTCTAGCAAACCGGGGAATAGGGAAAACCCTTAGGATTTTTTTTCAAATCCGGAAAATTTAATTTTTCATAGAGTGATATTAAAAACATTAGTGAAATTTCGATATTCTATGCCATGTTCTTTGTAATGTTTATGGGACATTTCATTTCAAACCGTTCCTACTATTTTGTTGAAAATTGCACATTCGGAAAAAAATAAAAATACAAAAATATCTTGTTAAAATAGCAGGGCTCGGATTGTGCGACTTTTTCGACTTTTCTAAGGAAATGTGACTTTTTTCGACTTTTTTGTGAAAAAATGCGACTAATCGACTTTTTCGAGTTTCTTAATATTTTTGTAGAGAATTCTCAATTTTCATACGGAAACAATTTGGATCATTTCTATTTCTTAATTACAATTGCTTTAATAAAATTTAAAGTTTTTTAAAAATTAATGAAAAAAAATGTTTATAAATTCTATTTGTCAATTAGAAAGTGAAACTTTTAAAATTTTTAGAAAATTGAAGGAAAAAGTTTTAGTAAAAAAAAATGATCTGTTACATTTATTTACAAATTTCTTTCAAATTTTTCGAAAACATTAATAACTTCTTTTTTAAATAAATATTTAATTATTATTTTTCCATAGGAAATAAAATTCTTCAAAAGATTCAAATTCAAACCTTTTTGAAATTAAACAACTTATAAAAAATTGTTATAAGACATGAAGAAATCGATCACTCCGAGTCTTCGACTCGGAGCAATCGATGTCTTCATGTTTTATTAAAATTAAAGATAACCGAGTTATAAAAAAAATTTTTAATTATTTTTTATGAAAATAATTGAATTATTGAGAAGAAATTTATAAAACATTAGGAAGTACCTAATTGAATTTTGCAGAATAATTTTGATATTTACAAAAATAATTGAAATTTTGAGGAGAATTTTAAAAAAATTTCAAAAATAATTGAATTTCTGCGAAGAATTTTCTTACTTTTGAAGATAATTGAATTTTGCAGAGAATTTTATCAGAACTTTTGAAAATAATTAAATTTCTCGGATGAATTTTATTATTTATGAAGATAAATAAAATTTTGACAAGGCATTTAAAAAAAAAATTGAAAATAATAGAATTTCTAGGATGAATCTTTTTATTTATAAAGATAATTGAAATTTTGAAAAGAATTTTATTATTATTTTTACAAATAATTAAATTTCAGAGAAAAATTTTATTATTTATGAAGAGAATTGAAATCTTGAACAGATTTTTTAAAATATATTTAAAAGTAATTGAATTTTGGAGAAGAATTTTCTTACTTTTGAAGATAATTGAATTTTGTAAAGATTTTTATCGAGAAAATTTGAATTTGAAAAAAATATTGGAATTTAATTGAATTTCTGTGAAGAATTTTATTATTTATAAAGATAGTTGAAATTTTGAAAAGAATTTTATTATTGTTTTTACAAATAATAAAATTTCAGAGAAGAATTTTATTATTTATAAAAATAATTGAAATTTTGAACAGATTTCTTTAAAAATGTTTAAAAGTAATTGAATTTTGCAGAAATTTTATTATTATTAAATTTTTATTGCAATTATTTTGCGTCACTATCCAAAAAATTCATAACTGAGTTTCTAACCGTAAATATTTCAGTTTTTAAATTTTTTGTGATTAGTAATATTTATAAAAATATCTTCAATAAAAAATATTTCGTTCATTTGAACGTTCAAAACTTGGGGATCATGAAGAATTTTGATATTTATAAAGATAATTGAAATTGTGAGGAGAATTTAAAATAATTTTTTGAAAATAATTTAAATTTTGCTTTGAATTTTATTAAATTTTATTAAACTTTATTCCGGATTGTTTGATATTAAAGTATGTGTTGTCGAGAAATGTGATTTTTTACAATTTTGACAATTTCGTGTTTCCTTTTTGTCGTTTTTTCTAAAATTCCATGCGACTTTTTTCGACTTTTTTGCAAATTTTATGCGACTAAAGCGACTTTTTTTTGAGTCTTGAAGTCGATCCGAGCCCTGATAATAGTTAAAAAAAATTAATTTGAGTCGTACGTTTGACTTTATATTCTATGTAAAATTTAATAAAAACTATTTTGTATTTTTCTCCGAATCTAAAAGCCCATTCTAATCTTCAGATAGTGGAAACTAGAGAATCTAAGCTTTTTTTAATATAATTTTCATCAAAGTTGAATGATGCTGAAGTGCGCAACGTTTTTAAAAACGAAAACGAAAAAATAATGGGATGGTTTTTTATTTTTTATTCTAAAACATGTTATTTTTTAATTATTTTATCTTAAGTATCAATGAATTTCTTAAAAATGTACACGGAGAGAAAAATCAAGCGTTTGTAGTATGGACAGTTAAGCTTATTTCGTAAAAGAATGCACATGCGCAATATGCGTAAAACTTCTGCTGTATTTGTATAAATTTCTACGTTATCAGCATAAAAGTTCTACCTGTAACGCATGGGACGTCAGTATACTACGATTGCAAGAGATCCATGCTTTTTTAGTATATGTTTCATGCAACTGAGGTATAAAAACATGCCTCTTTAGCAGGACGTTCATACAAAATTAGCATAGGAAGTCTCCATACTACAAACGCTTGATTTTTCTCTCCGTGTAGGCACATGAAAATTAGAGATGAATTTAACTTGAAAAAAAATTATTTTTTGATTTTTCGTTTTTAAAAACGTTGCGGACTTTAGCTTCATAAAGTTGAAAGCAACGTATTTTGAGATTTTTATAAATTTTGATATAAATGATACTTGAAAGTTTTTTATTTATACGAAGTTGTAAATTCCAAAATTTTTGCTTTTATTTGTCGTTAGCAAAAGCAAAGGGTTAACAGAACTTTTATTTGTGGTTGTTCTCGGAAAATATAAAGTCCTTTTTTGTCCTCCAAATACCAAAATATCCTTTGTCCTCCTTTGTGGAAGAGTCCTTTGTTTCTTGTGCAATTTGTATCTATGAATAACATTAAATGTATTTTCATAATACAAACTTTTTATACAATCGAAATTTCATTTGACAGAATTTACATTAAATCGAATTTTAATTTATCAACATTTTCAATTGCTAGAATTTTTATTAAATGGAAAGGTCATTAAACGAATTTTTAATAGGCAGAAACAATATTATAATGAATTATTTCTTAGCTGAAATTTTATTTCTTTGAATTATTATTTGACAAGAAGTCAATTTGAGCGATTTTCAATATTTTAGAAATTTAACCTAACGAAAATTGGCAACTAAAAACGTGACACCTTCATGTTACACACATATGGCCCAGACCCGGTGAAATTCAGTTTTCATCTAGTTTAAGGGGGTCACCCCGTGTGATGGGTTCAAAAAATCGAAAAATTTTTTTTTCATAAATCACATCTACTATATGTGTAGAATATGTGGGTAAAGAGGATTTTTGATATTTGACATCCTAAGAAAGTTACAGC